TTTTATCATTCACTAATTGTCTTTTCAGCCTTGTTAACTTTCTGTTAATCTCATCTATTGGGGTTTTTTTCAGTTTTTTAATATTTTTTTCTGGAAGTTTTATTTAATTCTTTTACAACTTAGCTATGTCATTTTAAAAAACATTCCTGATCCCTGCAAATATTTCCCAGCCTGTTTTTAACTTCTTCTTTTATAATCCATGCTCAATGATTCCAGTTTCTGAATTCCTTTGGGCCTTTTTCTATAAAGCTTGGTTGCACAGTAATGCGTGTTTCCATATCAGAGTACAGTGAGAGTGGGCTTGAGAAGGGATGTTTTTCTCTAGTTAAAACAGAAAGAATTTCAGGGGGAAAAGGGAGATCTGTGCCTCCTTTTTATGGTCTAAAATGACAGGATCAATAGTAATTAACACCTATACTGCACTTTTAAATTTATACATTTCTACTTTTATTTATTTCCCCAAAAACTTCCTGCGGGTTACATTACTGCCTCTTTCCTGGATAAAGAACCTGAGATTTGAATAAGACAATGTCTGGGTAGAGTCCTACACTTGATGCAAACAGTCAACTCATTGGAAAAGACCCAGATGCTAGAAAAGACTGAGGGCAGGAGGAGAAGCGAGCAACAGAGGATGAGATGGTTGGATGGCATCACCAATTGGATGGATGGAACTTGGGCAAACGCTGGGAGATGGTGAAGGACAGGAAGCTGCAGTCCATGGGATCGCAACGAGTCAGACATGACTTGGCGACTGAACAGCAGAGTCCTACAATGGGAAGCAGCCAGGCCAGAGCTCACCCTGGCCAACCCAACCACAAGCACCACGTCGGATGCGGCTCAGAAGACCGGACAACTGTCCCACGGGAGTAGAGACAAGGAGTGAGCCTGGGGCGGACAGATGAAAGTCAAGCTGTGGGAAATCCTGAGAACAAGCACAGAGTGAGTCCGACAGACAGACGTGATGGGGAAGAGCCCGGTGTCAGCAAAGGCAGAGCGAGAGCCCGCGGAGTCCCCGGGAGCAGTGTGTCCGAGTATGGAACACACTGGGCTGTCGTTTCTTTATCGGCCTTAAGATACCACCTGCCCTTGCCTGGTGGCTCAGAAGGTAAAGAATCTGCCTGCAACGCAGGAGACACGTGTTTGAACCCTGGGTGGGAAAGATCCCCTGGAGTGGCAACCCACTCCAGTATCCTTGCCTGGAGAATCCCATGGACAGACAAGCCTGGAGGGCTACAGTCCATGGGGTCGCAAAGAGTCAGACACGACTGAAGCAACTTAGCGTGCACGCAAAGTAAAACTGAGCTCTAAATTTTTCTAACGGCAATAACACTCCCTCCTTTCTAGGGGGCTTTTTAATGCTTTAATGTGGGGGCTGATGTCTCTGTAACAGGGCGCCCAAACCACCAACCTTGGACCCTTGGAACAGGGAACACTGCGATCCCTGTCAACAGCAAGACACCAGGAGTGTTTTGAGCTACCACTTTAAGAGAAGCTCAGCACATGAAATCCCCTAAATTTCAAGCGCTTACTGTTGGCTCCTGAAAACAGAAACATCCTCCAGTTCAACCTGCAAGGCACTGGTGCCCACTTGGGCAGTGGCTGGTGCTCTCGTGCTGGTGCCAAAGGCGGTGCCCGGCACCTCAAGCGTGAAATCAAGAAAAGCTTTCAGCGCAGGTCCCTGGCATTGCTGGTCAACACTACAGAAGAATTCAAAGCCTATCTTTTCTAAGCACACAGTCCACACTAGGGCGACCCACTGAACTGTGGGGACAGGACGCATCCGTCTCTTCACATGCAACTCTCTCGGCCCCGTTACAAGGCTGGGGTGGAGCCAAACATGGACCAACGGGGAGCCCGCAGGAGAGCTGACCCCTCACCCCTCACATGGCACACTGGCCCCTTATTCCCAACCACCCACCACCTCTCAGGATCCGGGCCGTTCACCCCAAAGTGCTGGGATTACTGCCTAGGTCGCTGCACTAGTCCAGGCAGGGAGAACGCATTCGGGAGGAATTAAGTCCTTCTCTGTCTCCAAACTAGAAAAGAATGTGCTTGTTCCTCCAATATTTGGGAACCAGAGCATCTCAGCAGAGCACATGGGGGCTCTCCAAACAGAATCCTTCCTTTTCTCATAAACAAATTATGCAAACTCTCTCCTCTTCCAGAACTAGCAATGTCACCATCAATTATGCAACTGACAACAACGGATTCGGGAGGGAGCTCAGGAAAGCATGTCATGAATGTTTCAGCCATGTTGTCAAGACTCCAGCGCTTCTAACTAAGTACATCAGCCATCATCACCAGGACCGCTTCTCCTCACGATGAGGCCTGGCAGGTAGACCCAGTGGGTGGGTGGAAGAGTGAGCGCCCAGAAGAGGGAGCCACACACGTGTGTGCCTAGCTGCATTTGGCTTTCTTCACTGTCCACATTTCTTTCAAGTAAAGGGATTAAAAATGGATGGTAAACTGTCATCACTCCAACTCGCACTTGCTTTGACAAGCTTCACACTTGTTTCTTGCTCTGAGCCTGCTCTCAGCTTCCTTCTGACTGTTAGATCTTACCTGGGATAATAGAACTTCTGGGTAACTTTCTTACCTTGTGAACTTCCCAAGTGACTATATATGTCCTGCGTCCAAGGCCATTTCGCCTCGAGATCCATAGACACTAACTGACCCCGTGTCTGCGCCGTGAGCCCGCTGCGCCCTCTGCCCTGCTCACACTAGGGCTGCAGTGGACACTTGGGCCTTGGGTTGCAGGGACGGTGAGCCCTGCTCATCACCCTTCTCAGAGGAGCGCGGCCGAGGCCCTGGCTCAGGACAACAGAGACGGGAAAATAAGACCAGAGGAAAGATCAAAGGACAGGGGCAGAGTCAGGAAGTCTCAGGCACCGCGGCTTTTGTTTTGTTTTCAACTGTAGGAAAATGAGAGAAGGAACCCAGTGCTGTTAGAAATGTCGTTCTGTACAACAGGCTTCCTTCTGAGAGCTGAGAAAAATCAGTTTTGCATAAGAAGTCAGCAACAGAAGAGGATCAGAATCAAACCCTCTGCCAAGTCATCATCAGAGGAAAAAAGAATAAAGACCAGAGTTAGGTCCCTGCAGATAATGAAAACATGCAGAAAGATGCACAAAACCATGGCAAAATCGAAACCTGCTGACTCAAAGCAAGCTGACTGGGACAGATCCATGACCTCACATGGGGGGGACAAGACCGTTCAAAGTCCGAGAAACGCAGGAAAGAGTACATAGGACCTAAGATATAGTTAGAAATAAGAGGAGAACATTGTTTCAGCAATGAAGACTAAACAGAAAAAGGAATAGAGAAAGATCATGACAATGAAAAAGCAAAATAAGCAATGACTGAAGAGAACCACATCTTAGTTATAAAAATAAGTGAAGAGAGAGATCTAAAGAGCTCACGAGAACATGACAGATACTGAAGACAGTCAAGGAGACCCAGCGGATGGGTGACAAGCGTGGGGAACCCTGAGTGGTGGGGGTGGGGAGGCGGTCCGGTGGTCAGAGGAAGGGGTCCAGGGAGGAAGCCGCCCTGGTGACCATGGTAACAGCATCCAGAGAGGAAGCCGCCCTGGTGACCATGGTAACAGCATCCGGAGAGGAAGCCGCCCTGGTGACCATGGTAACAGCATCCAGGGAGGAGGCCGCCCTGGTGACCATGGTAACAGCCCGGCATCCTAGGAAGTTACTCAGAGGAGATGTAAAAGCTCTCCCTGTCACAGACCGTGCCAGGCGATTGTGCGTTAACTGACCTCAGTGTGGTGATCACTGCCCCACACACAAATGTCACAACTCCACAGGGCACACCTCAGACTTCCGCAGGGTTGGTGCCGGCTGTGCGTCCATACAGCTGTGGAAGCCGGCCACGCGGAAAGAGCAGGGCCAGTACCAAAGAGCGGGACCGGCCCCTCCCCAAGGCGGCCTGGCGCCTGCAGCCCAGGGCAGTCTCCATGCCCCCCGCCCCAGGGCCACGAGTCGGCCCGCAGGACCCGGATTCAAGGGTCGGGCACCGGAGGCCTGAGTGTCCGGAGGGGACAGAGGGGCCAGAGCGCCCTGAGGGGTCAGAGCCGGGAGGGCGCCGCGCAGCCTGGGAGCGCGGAATGAGGGGCCAGGACCGCCGCCCCGCGGACCCCTGGACCAGCGCAGGAGCCCGGTGGTGGGCGGAGGGGAGGGACGGGGAGGAAGCGAGAGGCGCCCCCCTCCCCGGCCGCACCCTGGCCGCCTCAGGGAGGTCCGGACCCGCGGCGCTGGGGAGGGGTCGCAGGTTTGCTGGTCCCAGTCTTGCTCGGCCGCTCCGGTCCCCAAAGGTCTGGCCCCCGGAGAGGCTGCCGTCGCTAGTCCCCCCNGTGAGGCCGGGGGCACCCTGCTGCCCCAGGCCGGCTGCCAGATCTGGAGAAGCCTGCGCCCCCTCCTTGGGTCTCCCAGTCACAGGGCCCCTGGCTTACTGAGGTACCCCTCTGACTAGGGTCTGTCTCTCTAGGGTGACCAGCTCTTTGAAATCTGCCCAGGGCTTTCGGAGCTTTAAGACTGAAGCCCAGAATACCTCTCACACGGGACACCCTCCCCAGCCCTTCCCGCACCCCACCCGCAGCCAGGGCCAGTGCAGGAACTGCATCCTGTCCCACCCAGAGGGACTGTCCGTCTAGGGAGTGAGTACACGCGTGCGTCCCGCCCGGGCGGGCCGGAGGCAGACACTGTCCAGCCTCAGGACATGGCCGGGGCAGCAGGGCAGGGGGAGCAGATGGGCAGGCAGGAGGACTCTGTGGGGATGTCAAGGGGTCCCCATGAGTCCTGCAGCAGGGCCGGGGGGCTTCCAAAATCTCCATAGATTCAGCTCTCCCTGCCTCGCCATTGTCCCCCGATTCCCGAAGGCTCAGACAGTAAAGAGTCCGCCTGCAGTGTGAGAGACCAGGGTTCGATCCCTGGGCCGGGAGGATCCCCGGGAGGAGGGCATGGCAACCCACTGCAGTATTCTCACCTGGGAAGCCCATGGACAGAGCTGCCTGGCAGGCTACAGTCCGTGGGGTCACAAAGAGTCGGACACGACTGAACAACAGCTGCCGGGGAGTCATGGCAAGGTAGTGGTGTGAGACATTTTGGGTCATCGTGTGCAGTCAGACGGCCAGACTCAGGAGTTCCGCTCTGCCACCTCCCGCAGCCAGCTAGGAGACCTTCTCGGCCTCCTTCTGGGCGACTGGGACAGCTGCCGCAGCTGCTCCACAAGGCCGGGGACTGACCTGGCTGATGCAGGATGGAAGGTCTCAGCAAATCTCCATCCTACTGCAGACTGAGACGGGTTAAAAATACCACCCAGCATAATGTGACGGTATCGTAGCGAATAACTGGCAAGACCCCCCAGGCTGGCATCCCCCCTGCCCTGTGGCCGAGCAGCCGTGTGGAGGCCACGAGTGCCTTGACGACACCCGCATCTCGTGCACATGTGACTGGGAGCCGGGTGGAGGCAGCACGCTGTGTAGACAGTGTCTCACAGCGAGTACTTTCACCTCTGCTTTCCTCAGAGAAATAAAACACAGAGTGGTCCTGACGTTCAGAATGATGTTCAGGATCTTAGCAGAAGATCTTCAGATCTTCAGATCTTCACGAAAGCAGGTCATGAAGCAAGTCATGAAACCCATCTAACCTTGGGGTCTAATTTGAAGGGATTTTAGTGATGTCTCCGTCTAACCCTGGGCTGGATCCTATCAGAGTCAGATAAGGTAACAGTGCAACAGAAATGTAACCATGTAAAGCGGTGTGATACAATATGATGCAATGTAATTATCTTAGCTCAACTGCCAGTACAACAAGATGCAGGCCGGGTCGCAGTGTTCTAAGTCAGGAGAAGACAGGCAGTGCTCCGAAGCCCGGTCCAGGCCCCCAGCAGCCCCTCTGCTCACACCTGCCAGCAAAGACGCTGGCGTCCCAGAGCTTCAGTTCAGGAGCGGCCCCGGTCGTCCGCCCCTGTGCCCCTGGACACGGGGGTGCCCGGGTCCCCCCCTGCTCTCCAGCCTCTGTGAAACCTGTAGGCTCGTGGCCTTTGTTTCGCCTGGAACCTGAGGGCTTCTACCTGCAGAGACCTGGAACCGAGTCTCCGCCAGCCGACCCCAGTCACCAAAGGTGCAATTCTTCTGAGCGAAGGTGACCACGTCCACCCTCCCAAGCACTCCCAAGGACTAGGAGTTCTTTGGAGGGGACCAGGGAAATCAGTTGGAATTTCACCCCTAGCTGGACTGGGATAGGGTGGTGAGTCTCCACTGGAGGAGGGGTTCCCACTCCCCTCCGACCTGCCGCCATCAGTCTCTCCGTCTCTTTTTATCTTCGGCCACAGGAGGGAGCATGGAGGCCTTGGTGAGCTGGACAGGGAGCCCCTGCAGCCTCTACCCTCCCTAACACTTCTGAAAATGGGCCATGAAAAGTGTGACAAAGGAGAACTATTTTTCTTAAACATTACCAGCATCACCGCTTCGAGGCACAAAGTAAGGAAACCCCCACGTCTTGAACAGAAGCTGTGATGGTTTTGTCAGCGTGGCTAGGCATCCCTCTCGTTGCAGTTACTGTATTTTTGGTGAATGTGTTCTGCAGACGTGGTTAATGGCTAGAGTTGGCTGCCAATGAAGGTGATCGTCCACAGTGAGGTGTAAGCCTCCTCACGGGTCCTCACGAGACAGAGGAGTCTCTGACCTCCTCCTCGTTGTAGGAGGGCCCCAGTCCCATTCCAGGCCCCACCTTCGCCACCTCCCACCCTAATCACCTCCCAAAGACCCGCCGCCGACACCATCCCATCGGGACTCAGGGCTTCCACATGTGGGTGGGGGACACAAATGTTCAGTCCACAGCAAGGACCTTGAAGAGGTCCCCCTGGGTTGCCTGGGTGGGCTCTGGATGCCATCACAGGGGGCTTTGGAAGAGGGAGGCAGAGGGCGGGCTGACAAATGGAGAAGGTGATGGGAGGGCAGTTGGGTTGGGGTGTGAAGGTGCTGGACCTCAAGGCTGGACCGAGGTGGCCGTGAGCCAAGGAGCGCCAGCCGCCGCCGGAAGCTGGAAGATGAGGAGCAGACTCCCTGTTAGAGCCTCCGTGATGGACCTGGAGCAGCCCACACCTGGACGGGAGGCCTCTGCCCCTCCAGGAGGGAGCGGGGTGGGCTGAGGGGGGCTAGTCCCGGGGCAGGGCAGGGGGAGAGAGACCCACGGGGCAGGGCAGGGGGAGAGAGACCCACGGAGGCTGGGGCGAGCTCCGGGAAGGTCCTGCCCACACGTCCCTGGGGCTCCTCCGCTCAGCCTCCTGGCTGGTCTCCTCGGATGCCTCCCCGGTTCGGCCCCTCCCCCAGCTGATGAAGCCCCCAGGTCAGAGGTGACCCTCCTCCCACCCTTACACCCTCCCCCGTTGAGCCCGTCCCTCACCCGCGTGAGGAGTGAGTCTGGCCGCTGGGGCTGAGCTGTTCAGCAGAGGCTGATGCAGAGCTGGAGGGCGAGGGCCTGAGAGCTGCCCCCCGCACCCACGTCCCGCGGTCCTCTAACCGCTTCCTGAGAGTGGAGAGCGTCCCAGACCGCCGGCTGCAGGAGGAGACACCGGGGTCCTACCTGCAACACTATTTGTTCAGTTCAATTTCTGATTGTTTTCCACTATTTAGTCTACGCGACCTTGGCTTTGGATGTTGACCTTGCATCCCCTGACCTAGCTGCTCTGACGGGTTAGTTCTAGCCCCTCTTTCTGTGGCTCCTTTGGGGTTTTCTGCATCGACAGTGATGTCACCTGGGAACAGAGAATCTCATTTCTTACTTTCTGATCTGCCTGCTGTTTCCCTGTCTCCTTCTTGTTCGGACTAGAACCTTCAGGATGGTGTTGAATAGTGGCATTGAGAGGCTCACCCCTGCCTCCTTCCTGACCCCGTGGGGCAGCGTTCAGTCGTCCACTGTTAAGTGTGATGGCACTTGGAGACGTGTCATTGGTGCTGTTTATAAGTTTGAAGACTGTCATCCCTTCCTCTCCTAGTTTGCTGAAACCATTTACCAGGACCGTACGTTGGCTTTTAAATTTGTGTATCACAATGCACTGTTCTTTCGAAACATTGTTGGACTCAATTTTCTAAAATCTGTCAACAGTTTTCTCACTTGTGTTCATGAGGAACACTGCGCTTGGTGTTTTACACAGGACGTGTTTGCTTTGGGGGTCGCGGCGATGCTGGCTTCACACACTGAGTTGAAAATTTTTCTTTCCTCTCCGGTTTCTGAAGAAGTTCCTGCGGACCCAGCGACTTCTCCTTAGACATGTGGCTGCGTCCAGCAGGGAAGCCATCTGGGCCCGGGGCTCCCTGTTGGGAAGACGTCTGGAAACAGCTGCTCGTTCGTACGTGGGACACCGGGGTTCTCTCTCTCCTTCCCAGCGCGCTGCGGGGGTGCATCTTTCAGGGCTTTGTCTGTGTCGTCCCGGCTGTTGACTTACTGTCGTAAAGTTGTTCCAGTCAGCACCCCTGTTCTCCTCATCCTGGGTCTCTGGTTTCCATGCGTCTCTGCCCAGGGGACCCAGGTGGTGGGGTCACCCCGTCAGCGCCAGCCCCCAAGCCGGCGTTCCCTCTGGGAGAAACGCAAAGCCGCAGGGCCCACGGAGGGTGCAGTGGGGCTGTCCCCCCAGGGAGGGCCCATCCTAGCACACCCCGCCCTAGGACACTCCTAGCACACCCCGTCCTAGCACACTCCATCCTCGCACACTCCTCGCACACTCCTCACACACTCCTAGCACACTCCATCCTCTCACACTCCTAGCACACCCCGTCCTCGCACACTCCTAGCACACCCCGGTTGCTCTGGCCACCTCGCCGGGCTCCAGGGGCTCCAGCAGGCAGCAGCCAGCCCATTCTCCTCTGTCTCTACAGCTTGTGAGGCCGACTCCCCTGAAGGTGGGGGTGATTCTGCATTCCAGAGCCACAGCCCAGGACCAGGAAGGGTTGCCGTGAGCTCCCACCCCCCAGCGGGAGGAAGACGTCGCCTCAGGGAGACAGCCCCCCTCCCCCGCCAGAGGCCTCACCTCCCCCCGCCTCCCTGGTGCTGGGGTGCCGGGCCCTGGAGACCCCCTTGAGGCCCCCCAGGTGCTGCCCTCAGTCTCCTGCTCCCAGTCGATGGCCGCACCCACCCCCGCCTTCCACAACCAGACGCCCTTTGGTCTGTTTTCTGTTTGCAGCACCCCCTGCCCTCCTGCACTCCCATCATCCCAGCAACAGGTTCCTGAAGTTCGGATGCTTCCTGCACCCATAGCCACCCCTCCCTCCCCTTCCAGAGCAGCTGCCGGGCTTGGAGACACATGGCTTGATTTACTGAGTAATTGGTATGATAGGATCCCCACCATCAAGGTTTTCAAGACTATGTCTGGGAGTCCCATGTGCCCTCGCGATAACCGCAGCTGCTCCGGGCTCAGACACCACGGAGGGCAGGTGTCCGACATCCGCGGCTCCCTGTCCTCAGCGATCCTCACAGCGGTGCTCCCACTGTTGTGAGCACAGAGACAGAACCTCAGGAATCATGTGGTTTTGTCACAGGCGCACAACTGAGGCGTCAGGATGTGAGCCTGGGCCTGTTTTGTTAAAGTCTGCTTTCAACACCCTACACCCATCTGCCCATCTCCCTACATCCGGGAAAATTCTAGAAATTCGGAGAGAGACTTGCTGTCTCTGCACCGGGAACTGCTGAAGGCTCTCAAGCACTTTATCAGAGCGGGGCTGACGTGGTGGGTGAGCAGGTCTGGGTGTCGGCTCTCTCCCCGCTGCAGTTCTTAGCGTTGACTAAGTATGAGAATCTGGCTCCTGCCTTCGGTAAGACACCTAATTTCAGGTTCACGTGGAAAACTCAAGGGCAGGTGCCGAGGAAGCCAGGAGAGAGTCCAGCCAGCGGTGAAGTGCGGCAACTTGCTCTGGGGTAAGTTGCGGGCACCTTTACGGTGGATCCCAGAGAACTCAGGCCTGGGGATCCATCTCTCTTTTTTTTTGGAATCTCCTTTTTTCTTTCTTAAGTATAAATAGATAAAATCAGATCTCACAACGACAACAAAATTGCCGGTAGAGAGGAGAGCTGAGTGATCTGTGGGTTAGACTCCGTTTACGTCTCCCAGGGGCTTCCCTGGTGGCTGTCGGTAAAGAATCCGCCTGCAATGCAGGAGACCCGGGTTCGATCCCTGGGTTGGGAGGATCCCCTGGAGAAGGGAATAGCAACCCACTCCAGTGTTCTTGCCTGAAGAATCCCATGGACAGAGGAGCCTGGTGGGCTACAGTCCACGGGGTCGCGAAGAGTCGGGCACGACTGAGCGACTAACACTTATGTTTCCCAGACAAGCCCTCAATCAGCTGAAAGGCCTCGACATTGATGCTCTGGCCTCACAGTGGCCCTGGGCCTGATGGCCGCCCTGAGCTTCCAGAGTGAAAGGAATTGGGTCGTGCCCACGCTCGTCAGCCGCTCAGGTCGTGCGTCAACCGCAGCTCCTGCTTCCCAGCCTTTCTCGTCACCACGCCGCCGGGACCCTCCCGGGGGCAGCAGAGCCACACAGGGCCCCAAGGGTCCCACTGTGCCTCTGCCCGGCCCTGGCGTCATGGAGAGGGCACAGCAGGCAGCAGACATCGGCCGTTATGTTGAAAAGGTGAGAACCCCCTGCTGTCCAGTGGTTAAGAATCCCCCTACCGCCGCGGGGGACGTGAGTTCATCCCCTGGTCCGGAAAGACCCCACCTTCTGCAGGGCGGCTAAGCCCGTGAGCCCCAGCTCCTGAGCCTATGCACCCGGAGCCCGCTCGGCAGGAGGAGAAGCCCCCGCAGTGAGAAGCCCGGCTCCCCAGCAAAGAGTAACCCCCTTCCTGCAACTGGAGAAAGGCCACGCTCAGTACCAAAGACCCAGCGCCACCAGAAATAGATAAATAATTTTCTAAAAAATAAGAGAGGACTCTTTTTAGAAAATGAAGGGGGGAAAAAAAGGCAAAAGGGACATGGGTTCAGCATATACGTGACCCTGAGCGGCAGACGCTGTCCAAGGTCCCCGCGGGCTCTGCCCAGCGCGACCGTCAGGACCGACCCTGGGGGTGAACGCTCCTCACTCGGCCCATCACTGAGCTGAGCGTGGGGTCTGGCCCCGCCCTGGAGGGGCTGAGCCCCCGGAGGCCCTTCTCCTCCTTCAGAGGTGTCCTGCTGGGGCAGAGGTCGGGTCTCACAGGGCTAGGCAGAGGTGGACTGTGGCCGTCACAGCCAAGGAGAGGACAGGGACCCTGCTGGGCACAGTCAGCAGTGGGTGGACACGCAGCCGGGAACGGGGAGCAGGTCGCTGAGCTCACCCGCAGGGCCCGGCCTTGATCACAATCTGCCAATCGCCTTTCCGCACTGGAGGCCCTGGTCCAACAGGGCCTCCCCCGGTGGCCTGGACGCATGTTCTCTCAGCACCCATGTGTAGACGGAGGCCCCGTCTCCATGGGGACACATGGCCCTGGATCACTGCCAACGCCATCCTAAAGCCCCCCTGGGACCCACCTGCCAGGGAGCAGAAGCCGGCTCGCAGGGGACAGCCCTCAGCCCCCAGCACGGGGAAGACCGGCACGTTACCGCTGCCTCCCAGCCCGCGGCCGCTCCTGTCCGTGCAGAACTGTGCTCACGGACGCGGGGGGCTGGGCCACGCCCCCACGTTCACGGTGCAGCCCCAACCCCCGAGGGCTGGTAGGGAGACAGGAGCAGCTGAGGTGACGGGAGGGCGTCAGGGTGGCCTCTGACCTGAAGGGATCCCTGCCCTTGTAAGAAGAGACCCCAGAGCTGGCTCTGCCGGGCAAGGCAGCCGGCTGAAGAGCCCCGCAGCGCCCCGGGCACACCGGCACCCTGCGCTGGACGTCCACCCTCAGACTGCGGGAGAAACGTCTCGTTTCAGCTGCCTCATCCGCAGTGCTTGTTTGGGGCTAAGACAGAGAGCCACCCAGAGCCTTCCAAAGCCTCCGCCACCTTTAGCTGAATGGGAGGCCTTCACCTGCCAAACAGAGGCCAGAAAGAAACCCACGACCAGAGAGGCACGGGTGGGCTCAGCCGGAGCCATCCACGTGTGAGGGAGCGTAGATGGTGGGATCCCTTCTGTGTGGATGGCAGGGTCCCCTCTGCATGGATGGCGGGGTCCCCTCTCCCCTGGGTGACTGGGTCCCCTCTTCCCTGGATGGCAGGGTCCCTTCTGCCCCAGATGGTGGGGTCTCCTCTGCGTGGATGGCGGGGTCCCCTCTGCAGGGATGGCGGGGTCCCCTCTGCCCCGCGTGGCCAGGTCTCCCCTGCCCCAGGTGGCTGGGGCTTCTCTGCCCCAGATGGTGAGGTCCCCTCTGCGTGGATGGTGGAGTCCCCTCTGCCCTGGATGGTGGGGGGTCCTCTGCCCCGGATGGCGGGGGGTTCTCTGCGGTTGGCCGGGTCCCCTCTGCCCGAAGGGGGAGGCACGCCCAGAGCCCACAGTTGTCAGGGCAGCCGCTGCAGCCCCGCACCTCCTCACCCTGGTGTCACCCAGGCTGCTTCGGGGACAGCAGCACCTTCACGACAGATGTGTCCCTTTCACCTGCAGAGAGAAGGTCTCTGCAGCAGAGACAGTGTCTTGATGGACTCTCCCTCTGATGACAAACCAGCGCCTCCTGCTTGGAAGCTGTCAAGCCCTTCAGTGTAAAGACTTCAGAGGCACCAACCACTCAGGTGCCAGGAGACAAGAAAGCTGGGATTCCCAGGAGGGGAAAGAGAGAAGGGGTGACTCCCTGGGCTTTGGGGAACGTTTGAAAGCTAAAAGCAGGGTTCTGTTTTGCCGCTGAGATGCAAGCGTGTCAGAAGCTCCTGTCCTCCTGCGTCGCCGCCCTGAGGCTCAACGGCGTCTCACGCTGAAACCCACTCCCCGGAGGACACAGGACGTCCTCCATCACCGAGGCCTGGAGGGCAGGTGGCTGCTCGTGTGGGTCAATTGCATTTCTCTTTTCAGAACTTCCACGGCCACAGCGTGGCCCAAGGAGACCCTGGCCCACTGTCACCCCGTCGCCCGGGGCCTTTGCCCCCTTGGCCACGGCCCCCGTCCCTCGCCGACCCGAGAAGGGCAGCCAGCTCCCTCTGAATTAAAACTGTAATGCATCTGTCCCATTTACACAAAGCCTTGGCTTTGACACATGCAATTACTATGAACACAGAGGCAACATGATTGCTAAGGGCTCCAGAAAGAGAGTTTAATCAGCAGACGTGGGTTTCTCCGGGCCGATTTATAATTTCACTCCTTGCTATTCCTTTATGTTCTTATGTGTTCAGATAATTAGATACACTAGTTCTTGCTTCCCGAGAGGCCAGAAAGGGCAAAATTCCTATTCTTTTTACATTAGAAAGATTAAATTATAATATAGAAAATCTGTAACTTTGGGTAGAAATGACAAATTCACACTACATTAATTTCAGTGCTTACAAAATGTTACAAATAATTTGTGCGTCCTCTCCTCTCTTGTAGGTGCATGTGAATTAATTACCTATCCAATTTCAATGTCTTTCAAGTCAGCTTTCCACAGACAACTCTGAAATTAAAAGAAAATAAGGTTTGATTTCCATTTGCCAAGTATATTTGTTTGAGATGTTTAACCATTTAAGCCCATGTACACGTCCCTGAGAACATGGACACAAACAAATGTGCCCACTTACAATGCAGACTCTGTGGGAAGCCGCAGAGTTCCAGGGCTGGTAACTAGGAAGGGAAGGACAAACCTCCGTCCCACGCCGCCAGCAGGAGGGACTCACCCAACACCCAAAGTAGCGGTGTGGGCACCCTGGTCAGTGCTCAGTGACGCCAGAAAGAGGCGTCTCCCCAGGGCTCAAGCCACACATTGTTGGAGGGGGGCGGTGTCTAGGAGTGGTTCCAGGTCCACTGATTTTTGCAAACAACAACAGATTGAGCCTGGCTTCTGCGCCCCGGGTACCTAGTGGGCAAGTTGGGGGCTGGGACAGGTGGCCCCTCACCTGCAAGCTGACCCAGAACTCTCTGAGATAGGATAAAGGATGGGGTGTTGGGATGACTCCTCTGTAGCCCCTCATTTCCTTGTCTCTCCCCATCCCTGTCTCCCCCCGTCCCTGTCTCCCCCTGTCCCTGTCTCCCCCCATTCCTGTCTCCCTTACCCGTCCCTGTCTCCCTCATCCATCCCTGTCTCCCCCATTCCTGTCTCTCCCCATCCCTGTCTCTCCCCATCCCTGTCTCCCCCATCCCTGTCTCTCCCCATTGCTGTCTCTCCCACCATCCCTATCTCTCCGTCCCCCATCCCTGTCTCTCCCTTCCCCATCCCTGTCTCCCCCATCCCTGTCCCCCCATCTCTGTCTGTCTCCCCCATCCCTGTCCCCCCACCCCTGTCTCTCCCCCCCATCCCATCTCTATCCCATCTCTACCCCATCTCTCTCTTCTGTCCACTTCCTCCCCTGATGTCTTTGGGTCCCTGGATGAAGAGTTCATACACAAGGTGGGCACAGGGTCCAGTCCTGTTTAAGGAGACTGTCCTGTGGCCCTCCCACTGTCCTTGGGGGAAAGCCGCCACGCCCCCACAGAGTCAGCGGGNGGCCACACCCGCGCGGCCCGCCCCCTCGAGGGACCCCGCCCCCGCCCATCACCCTTCTCTGCTCTCCTCCGCTCAGCAGAGACGCACACACGTGCACGCGGACAGGCTGCCCGGGACCGAGATTGCACACATGCTCGCACACGCACACTCCAGGCACACGCACACATGTACACACGGTGTGGGCACACTCAGATACACGCAGAGACGTAGATGACCCCGTCGCACGCCCGCGCTCGCACGCACACACCAGGCACGTGCACTCCCCTGCACCCTCAGGGCAGACACCTCCACCCAAGAGGGTCGGGCTCTGGGGGGACGGAGGCCCTCAGGGAAGCCCAGGTCCCGGCCCCAGTCCCCGGGCGCCGGCGCCTGCCCTGGGGACATCTTTCCCTGGAGCCTGAGGGAGGAGGGCCGAAGTGACCTGTTCTCTCTCTGCAGGGACCCGCGCTTTTGGGGAGGCGACCCTGGGTCTGCACTTGGGACTGGGGCGCCCCGAGCCCCACCTCCTGAGACTGAGTCTGGGCCCTGTGCCAGCGCTAGAAAGGGGTGAGCTGCTCCGGTCCGGGGCGGGCGCAAGGCCAGGCTTCAGGCGGGCACAGGGGCACGTGCCACCGCCCCAGCCACAGAACCAGAAACTGCCTTTGCGGCAGGACGACCGGCACCCAGCTCGGAAGGTCCAGAAGGCCAGGCCAAGCTTGTGTCCCTGGTGAACTGCGTCCAGACACCCACTCCTGGACATGCAGCTTCCTGGGCTGCTGCCCTCACGTGGGGCTTCTGGGGACGGGCCTCAGAACGTGTGCTGAGCACAGGAGTCCGGGGGTGACGGCCAGTGCGCACTCCCCTCCGCATCCCATCCACTGGACTCCTCATCCGGGGGATGGGGTCTGGCCTCTCTCCCACAGCCCCCAGGGTGGAGAGAGCCCGCAGGTCAGCACCCTGGGCATGCGGGCCCCCACTCCTGCCCTGGCCCCCTCTGGGCCTCCGTCTGTCCCAACTGGACCACAGAGAGGGGGGGCTCCAGGGGGCTCCCTTCTCCTCTCGAGAAAAGCTGGGTCTTGACACCCTCCCCAAGTGCCTTACAAATCCATGCAAACACGAGCTGAAGCTGCCCACGGGTGCAGACAGCAGCCGCCACAGATCACAGCGCCTCGGGGACACGGTTTGTGGGAGTCCAGAGTGAGCCGTCCACAGTGGGTCACCCCCAGAGGGAACGCTTTGAGCTGAAGGCGATCGGGAAACGCTGACGGTGGTCCCTCTGCCTGAAGGAGACCAGCTCCCTGTGAGGGGCCCACTCTGGAGCCTCCCTCGAGGGGCCTGAGATGCTGGGGCGGGCCGGCCCCTCCCACACGCCTCCTTTCTCTGTCTTGTCAGCCCCTGAAATGCATCCTTCTTTATCAAATGGCACAGGTCCCCCAAGCCTAGCCACTTCTCTGGGGCTTTACCTTCTGTGAAGCTGCCGCCCCCAAGCACGTAAGTAGAGTGTTCGTCTCATGCTCAGTCATGTCTGACTCTCCGCAACCCCGTGGACTGCAGCCCGCCAGGCTCCTCTGTCCGTGGGATTCTCCAGGCAAGAACACTGGAGTGGGTTGCCATTTCCTCCTCCAGGGGATCATCCTGACCCAGGAATCAAACCCACATCTTCCCACCAAGGAAGCCCTAAGGTGTATAAAACCAACGTCACATAGATGTTTGTTCCTTCCTCCTGAGACTGTCTGTGCTCAGACTATGTCACAGACCCAGCAGAGGGCCCAGGACAGCTGAGAAAACCCTCCCTGCGACACACAGCTTCAAGAAGGGTGTCTCCCAGAGGGCCCTCAAGGGGGTGGCCGGGGGTGGGGGGTGGGCTGTCCCCTGGGCCCTGGCAGCCACGAGTGACAGGTGGGACCCAGGAGAGAGAACGGGACCACCCTGACGGGGGCCAACCCCAGGGGCACACCCCCCCAGGGCTCCGAGGCAGCCAAGGCAGGCAGCCCAGGCCACGTCCACCCCGGCCTGTGCAGAACCCCACCGCTCAGGCTGGCCTGCGTCTGAGGCCTAAGTCCCTGCGATCCCTCTAGAGGGGAAGCGCCTTGATATCAGGTGTGGATGGGTGCCCGGAAGGGGAGGGAGGAAAACTATGAAATTAATGCCGATCAGAAAAATACATTTTATTGTACTTTTTGAGAATGAAATGAGTACTGTAGACGCATGCAAAGCCCTGTAACTGGTCAGAGCAGCACGAGAGGATGGGGCCTGGCTGCCCACCACTGCATCTCTGGACACGCATGCGCCGCGGGGCCCACCCGCCAATGCCTCCCGCCCGCCCACCGCAGCTCCTTCGTGCCCGGATGTCCATGCCGTGTCACGGGGTGTGGTCGGGACCTGTTCAGTGCGGGGGAGATGAACAGGTCCCCTCTTGATGCTTGTATATCCTGACTAAGGACCCACTGGGAGATGAAGCAGACGTCGCTCAATGCCGGGAGCTGGCACACGAGCTCCCACCCGTGACAAGGTCATGAGGGAGAAAACCTGACAGGCAAGGCAGATCAGGTTTTCAGGGATTTTGAAAAGCTGCCCCCGGCGCTCACCTTAAAGATGATATCGGTCTTTCTGATGCCTGCCTCAATGGACTACTGCCTAATTTCTGTGACACAGGCAGAAGGCCTTCCCCGATCTCTTCCCAAATAAGAATCAATTTAGAACTTTAATCAATAAGTTTCCCAGGTGGTGGTATTTTATGAGATTATCCAGGGTGAAAGGAGTGTTTTAATTTAAACTCCTTTGCTGGTAGTTTGTTAGCCAAATGCATTTATGCCCTTGGTACTAATATGCATGATTGCTTATAATATCCGAATCATAAAATAGCATAAAGAACCTGATTATATAAAAGCCCTAGTAGACATAGAGCATTTTTGAGGGGTGAAGGAGTCCTATTAGAAAACATTAAAAAAAATTATTCTAAAGGTGGTTATTGGGTTGATGTCTGCTTGCTGTGTTTTGCTTGCTGTGTTTTTGCTCTTAATGTGCAAAGGTTGTGTTATAGAAACCATTGTTAGTATAGTTATAGATCTAGAAAAATAAGAGCTTAGCCCTAGTGTGGTAACAATGAGGTGGTTGCTAATTGTCAGCCAGGAATGCTAGGCAGAGGCTGCCTCACTGAAGCCGCAGAGTCTGTGTGGGGTAAACTTCTTAGACAAACGCAACTGACAACTTCTGCAGAAGGATTAATTTTTGTGTTAACAAGGTTATAGTTCTGCTCTGTACTGTGGCCCTATGAGACTGCTACCTTTCAGTTAAGGTCACCATAGAAACAGAAAATAGGTTTACATTCACCTGACCTGCATAAAACGCTAATATGCCCCAAGGCCAGAAGATAATGTACAAGACCCTCATAAACAAAGAAGTATGCAGAAAACACCCTGGTTTCGTGAAGGACAAGCTGACATAATGTTAAACTATCTTCCCCTTAGAAATGTACTAATTAGGGTATAAAAGCCACAGTAAAAAATAAAGGATTGCCAGACTCTGCCAGACCCTGCAAACACCCCCGTGTGGTCACTCTCTCTCTCTCTTTCTCTCTCTTTCTCTCTCTCTCCCTCGCAGACTTGGCCCTATCAAGGCTGGTCTCACATGTCTTCTCTCGCCGACGCTGTTCATCCTGAGGGTACTCCCTGGATCCTGCTGGGGCTGGACCCCAGCAGCTCAAGGTGATGTCCGGTCAGATTTGCATCATTTTGTTCAGGGCCATTGCATGGACCTTCGTATCAGAACTAGTCAGAACGTCTGCACCTTTGTGTGGTCCCATCACCAGCTTTCTTAAATGGCTTGGGCGTTGTCTAGGAACGGGGTCTCCGTGGGGGTGGTTCTTCTGGGACAAGGCGGGGGACTGGAGACACGCGCATTTCAACGTCGGTTTAGGGAAAAGTGGAAAATCTTGAACATACTTCCAAAAATTTGGTTGACACTGTTTTACAAGGATCCCTGTTGGTGATGGGGGTCACCCAGAGTCAGGTTAAATGCATATTTCTCACTTGATTCCTGGCTTCATTTGTACAATGGCACCTGAACTTGAAGGAGAACGGGAGAAAAGAAATCAGGCCCTTTGCGGATCCTCTTAAAAGAAACCAGGAAGCCCGAAATGCAGCTCTGTCAGGAGGCGGGAGTGGCGGGGGGCACACCCGGAAGCCTGACTCTCCCTCCGAAGTGTAGGTGACGGCATCCCTGCTCACTTTCATTTTCTCTCCATTTTACGGTCTGAATCCCCAGAGCGCGCCTGTTAACTTTATG